AGAAACACATCAAGGATGCAGTTTCTCAAGGAGCATCTATTGTGACTGGAGGGAAACGACACAGCTTGGGGAAGAATTTCTTTGAGCCAACATTACTTAGTAACGTTACAACAAAAATGCTTTGCACCCAAGAGGAGACGTTTGGCCCTTTAGCACCAGTTATCAAGTAAGATCATTAATTTTCCAGATCAAAAATAACAAAAAAAAAATCAGTGAAAGATTATTTTGAATAAACAAGATTTGAAAGGCAGTTTGTCAATAAAAAAAAGAGTCTTTTGTAGTAAGGCAGGTGCACATGTGAAAACATACTTTGGTTATGTGATTTGTTTGTTTCTCTCTTGGCCTGATTTTAGCATCTCTGCAAGTTTTTGCAAATGACTTGGTTTTGAAATGTATCAATAGTTAAGCAAGGGTAGATAGCAGAAAAACCTTCATCAGCTTCGTATCTGTGGTATAAAACAGGAGACAGAACTTCTGAGTTTGTCATGTGATTTACTAGTCCTAAATTTTTCTGACAGAGAATGATTTAGAGCTGTCTGTTCTCCTTAAAACCTTCCCTGGCTCTCTGCAGAGCAATTCGATGCGATGGAAGAACAGCCAGTTATCTCTCAGAGCTGAGAGTGCTTGTGTAGCTGGGGAAATAGGTGGGCTAACCAATGTGAAATAAATGTTTTTGCTACCAGTATCTAGGGAGGATAAAGGCAATCTTAATTTAAATTGCTGGTAAGTAGCTCAGAGAAGAGGTAGACACTCCTCCATTGTTTCAAAGGGAAAGTTAAATTAGGTGTTGAAAGTACACTTTTGGGAAAAAAAATCATTTTTAATTCTGATAAAACTGCTTCTTGTCAGTAAGTCAGCAACACAGTAGGTGAACTTCAAGCCTCATTTCCATTTTTTCTCTTTCTATTGACAGATTTGAGACTGAAGCAGAAGCTGTTGCTATAGCAAATGCAGCTAATGTGGGTTTAGCAGGTATGCCTTTGTCAGACAAGTGGATTTCGGTGGTTTTATGAGCTGTAGTGTGACGGGGTGATGATTTTGAATGTAGCAAGTCTCTTTTTCACAGTATTCTGCAGTTGCTCTTACTGACTTTCATTCCTGTATCTCTGTGTCTGCACGGCAGGATATTTCTACTCCCAAGATCCAGCTCAGATCTGGAGAGTTGCGGAACAGCTGGAAGTTGGAATGGTTGGTGTTAATGAAGGCATCATCTCATCAGTGGAGTGTCCTTTTGGTGGGGTAAAAGAATCTGGCTTAGGGCGAGAAGGTTCAAAGTATGGCATCGATGAATACTTAGAAATAAAATATGTCTGCTTTGGAGGCTTATAAAAATCTTCAAAAAGCACAATCCCAAAAGCTTGGAAAAGAGTGCTGTAGTTTTAATAAGCTTCTTGAACCAGAAATATGTGTGAATGCAACTTCTACCCTCTTTAAAACTAAGTAACCCCATTCTGTGTGTGTAAAAGATACTTACAGTATTCTGTGCTGCCATATGTTTTTACATGGTCTTTGTTTATACATTTAGTTTTTCAGCAGCATGATCAAAATGTCCATCCTTTTTCGTAATGAGTAGGGATGTGCATTAATTATTCTTGGATTATCCCTGTGTAACTGGGAGAACTTGGGAGGCTGGTGCATAATGAAAATAGATTATAAGCTATGTCAAGGGGAAACTAGACCACCATTTTCTAGTACCTTTCGTGTTTCAGTGCGGATGTGGGAGGCTTTGGGATGGCAGTCTCCCTTTAGAATTTTGTGTAAATACTCACATTTTTTAATGTGCTTCTACAACTTTCTTTAGAAGCAAGCGTGTTCTTTTTTTTTTAATTACGGGTGAATCTGATGGTTACGAAAATTACTTTTAGGTACAGCTAGGCATCCACGTAGGCAAACAGACAGCTTTTTCGGTGCTGTAAATGCTGACTGCAGAAGCCCTGTTCAGCTTTCGGCCTCTGAGCAAAGAGCTGTTAATTTATGCCTAACAGCTTGCACGCCTAGGATCAAATATGGATCTTACTTGATGTCTTTTAGCCCCAGCTCTTAGTTCCAGTCCTAGGAATGGGACAGTCCAGGACAAAGAATTGCTGGCTTAGTGAGTAGCAGGAGGAAGACGGGATACTTACAGGAATAACTTGCAGAATTGTAAGGGGACACTACAAGGGCTGTGTGAAGAAAGCACAAGTGGTGATATGATGATACAGATAAAACTTCCTCCCTTTCTTGAAAAGACCATGACTCTCCTTGGGTAGAAGTTACTCAGTGTCTAAAGGAACATTACTCAGCTCCTCCAAAGAATATGAGCAGATAAATGGTTCCCTCCCTCTGGGCTTTGTGCCTTGAACTGGATTTTTGGTTATGCAGGTGAATGTCCATTAGGGAGGAAGGTTTAAAAACCTTTGAACATGGCTAACTGTATGACCTAATAAGGATTTAAATAGTAGTGATTAGAGGTGAGACTTTGACATATCACCTTGCTATTCTGTCATCTTCAAAAGATGATGTAAAGCTTCCTTAATATGAAATAAACAATGTTGTTTAAACATTATTTTAATGGCAGTCAAACAAAGCACTTTAAATAATGTGCAGTGTTACTTTGGCAAATAAATCGGCACTGCAGAAGCTGAGTGGAATAAATTTTGTTTCTTGTGTTCATTTTTAAAAATAAACAAAAGACTGCAATAGAGCTCTTCTTCCTATGAACTAATGAATGTACCCCACGAAACGTAATATTTTAAGATATTTTATGCCATCAAGCAAAGGTAACACAAGCCTCGGGAGAAGGAAGCCAAAAGAGTTACATGGTTTTGTTTATTTTTTTTTCAAAGCGCACATAAAGTAGCATTGACTGCTACTTCTTATTTTTAAATATTTTTTTATGGCTGTATTTGTGTAACAGTTCAGACCAGATGGGTCTGGAGCACATTACTTGTCAGTAATGTGTGTGTGTCATGCCAACCAAATGGCAGTTAAAGGACACTTTACTGCCCTTCCAATAATTCCTAATGCACCAAACCAACACATTTTTGGTAGTGAGGACTCAGTACTGTCACCTGTGCTTGTTGACAAGAACAAAAAAAGGATGGCCTATTCCTACACTAGTTGCAAGAAACTTTCTTATAGCCAGCTTCTTACACTGTTTGAGCATGTTATCCTGCCTGAACTTGGGGAATAAAGCATTGTGGAATAGGAAACTTTGCCAGCCTTGGCTGCCAATGTGTGTTTATTTCTGAGAGAGTAACTAGGTAGAAGGAGGTCATAACTTGGTGCCTGGGTGCCACAACACAGTGACACAAGGTACAGCTATTGTAAGCAGGTAGAGTATCTCCCGCTGAAATTGCTCACCTAAATTATGTCTGCCTCTGGACTGAAGTATAAGCTCAAAATTAATCATCTCATTTAGAGCTGTATGACAGTGCAATCTTAAATATGAGCGTACTTCCTGGGACAGGGCAGTTGGAGGATAAATTCTTTAACCCCCTGCTGTCTTCACTGCAAAATTACTGATCTGATGTGTTGATACATTTGAAGTCTTAATGTCTTTTCTGAGAATAGCATTTTTAATGAGTAAATGTTTACTTTTTTTCCTAGCAAATAATACCTTTTACTATGCCTGATAGCAAGCACAAACCATAAATAAAGATAAGGGATGTAATAAACTTTAAAAATACCTTTGTCTGGATTGGATTGTGGTTGGATTCCAGCATAGTATCCTTGTGTCAGTAAGGTCTACATCTGTTAAGCACAGAATAATCAAAGTTGTCTTCATAACAAAAACTGTGATTCTTCAACAAAAGACTTACTTGAATTCTCACACCTCAGTTATGTTGATTGCACTTGTGATAGTTTAGCAATTTCCGGATATTAAAACTGTGATTAAAAATGTTTTTAATTAATAAATAACTTCTGTGAAAGCACTGATTTTGTGACTTACTACACCTCATTCAATGTTGAATTGGCAATCTGACAGCAGCCACATTAAGGTCAGTCTCTCAGATTTCCACGGAATATTTTGTTCTGCCAGCTTTATCACTGGAAAAGACTTTGCATCCACATGTCCATAAACTGTAAGATTTTGGTACCCCCAAGTACAGTCACTTGAATCTAAATCAAATATATGAGACTACTTTGACATAGTAATTTGCTGTCAGTCATTCTGTATGCAAGTCTTTTATGCTGAACCAAACATTTTATCACAAGATAGAGGTTCTGTATATCACAGTGTCTTCCCTGCTTTCATGATGTGATTAACTGCATAATTCTTTACCTCATGTATTACGACTTAAATAGAGTTTTGGAAGGTCTTTTATTTTCACTTAGTTAATACAGTTTTGAAGCCTCAGAAACTGTTTTAATTTCCAACCTGCTTTAGTCATGGCCAATTTCCATTTCATTTGCTGGTGTTATTCTTTAAGTAGCTGATGTTTCACACCCCCTCCCCACCCCCACTGCCTGTCTTCTCTATGTAATAAACTCTCCAGAAGCTGTGCTTACCTGTTCTGCTAGATATTTAACAACTCAGCTAATTTAGAGCAGAAGATTTAAGTAGTCTGTTCAGAAGCCCTAAGTTACATTTTAGCACTTGTTTAAAGTCTTTCCATGTCAAAACTCCCTGCTGAGGACCTCCCAAGAATAACCACAAGGAGTTATGGCGGCATATTCACTTCTGTCCGTGAGTGCTGAAGGTACTTTTGCACAACAGGCTGAAGTTGTTTAGGAATCACTGCTGCTGATCTCCCTGTTGCACCAGTTCTGCTCAAAGGGATGGGGGGCAGGCTGCTGCTGTTAACAAAATGTACAGTGCAATAACCAAGGGGCAGATTCCATTCCTCAGTACAAGGGCATTTATGTGTCTCACCAGCTCATCCAGCAGCCAGCATCCCCTTGCAGGAATCCAGCATGAACATATGAGGTGCCACGTAGACTGGGGCACCATGTATCCAAATACACTTTAAAAGTAGCTTTTATGGTGTATGACTTTTCCTTACAGAAAGACACCTGTATCTCATAGTACCTTTTATTATCACAAATTACCACAAACTTCACACACACCGACACGAGGATTTTTCTTCTGAAGCTCAGGAAACAGGCAGCGTAACCTGCCTCTATCTAACACAGCATTTTGGGTTATATTGCACACTGATTACTGCAAAGCAGCCATTATACTGACAAACACTCTCAGGTACTGGATTTGTTATAGAGTAAGCCACAAAGCTTGTGTAATTACCACACTTGGCATGACAGCTGGTGATTATTTACACACAGCCAATTAAACCAAGTAAGGACAAGCACCACAAGAAAACCTACTGTGATCTGCAGTAAATTATTTTTTTTTCCTGTTCTCTGATGTACTGAATTATGTCACCTCTCTAGAAAAAGATGCTTCTGTCAGTAGGAAAGGAAGGGATCAGCTACTGCACTGCTTTTATGTTTGAGTACAGACATAAGCTATGGTATACAACGTATGTCTATTAGCCTGACCTGAGTGATGAGTCCAATACAGAATACCACGCCTAAAAGAGTACCTGACAAGTTCCTAAAAGGAAAGAAAAAAATTTATTAGTTACATAAATGTAGCAATTTCAGCTCAAAAACAGTTCCAGTTACAATACAATAGCAATAGCAATAAATAACATTTTCTAGAAACAGGTTCTTAATATAAGTTCTGTAATAGCTCACCCCATCCACCCACAAGGAGAAGTGCTTCCATACAGAGACAAACTACAAATCTGCAGCTCATCTGCACTTGATTCATAGCCCGTACAAAAATCATTTGCCTTTGCTGCCTCCTTTTTAAAATTTATTTCTGAACTTTTTATTTTTCTCCTTTGCCTTGGGGAGTTCAGCACATAAAAGGAACGTGAAATGGGTTTTTCTTTGCCGCAGAAATAATGGATTAGTATTCTAGTTAGGATCAATGATAAGCAATAACTGATATTAAGAAACTAATTCATCGCTATATCCCATTTCCCTTCTTCAAGAAGAATGCTTACCTCTCTCAAACCTCAAATAAATGTCCGAAGACTACACTAAATGTCATTTTATTACCACCAACCCCAAAGCTCCATCTGACTACTGCCCATTATCAGTATACTGGAGGGGAAAACTAGTTTCACTTGAGGCTAAAAGCAGGAACATTGCCTAAACTCAATTATTTCAAGAACATTGGATTATTTAAGGAAAGTGTGAATCCAGCACAGAGAACACACGCACCCACTCACTCTCTCTCTGTTAAGTTCACACACTGTTAAGTTCCTTGCATGAGTGCTCAGTTCTGTTTGCCCACAGAGACCAAGAAAAGCAAAACTGATACCCTACAGGCAAACAGCTGACAGCACAAAACAGACACCTGAACAGTACTTATATGTGATGCATCTGACACAGGGGGAGAAGACTGTTTACCTAAAAGGACAGAGCTGACAATCTATGCTTACAAATAAAACAAGAAAAACCTGATTCCTGTACTTGTTTTGCTAGAGAATCAACCTTTAGTTTTGGAGTTTGGTTTGGGTTTTTGTTTGGGGTTTTTTTTTGGTTTGGTTTTTTTGTTTGTTTGGTTGGTTGAGTTTGGGGTTTTTTGTTTGGTTGCTCTGGGTTTTTTGTTTGTTTGGTTGGTTGGTTTTTTTAGATGTCTGAATTTTAATTCCTTGAAAGAACAACCTCCTAGCCTTTTGTGCTGGCTTTAAACATAAAATAAACCCAAAACATATAAAGAGACTGATTTCACAAAACTGGTGGATGCTGCTGACTGCACTGACGTGTCCTACAAGGTAAGTTTATAGATAAAGGCACACTGGAGACAGTATTTCGCAGAAGCATTAACGGCAGCATGGCAAATACAAAGTTGAAACTGCTTAAGCAACTTGTTTGCTTGTTTAAAAATGCATGTTTCCATGAGCATGATTCCTGCTGGAACATTCTGGGAAGTTACGCAGAATTAATTAAGCCCAACATTTGGATTTCAAAGGAAAAAAAAAAAAATTAGTATTTTGAGCGGGCCTTAACTTTATTCAGGAATGCTTTAAAGTAAACACTGCATTATTACATTAACACATCTGGAGCAGAAACTGAAGGACATCAGAAGCTGCCCTTGCTTTTATTGACCAAGTTATTTAAAAATATATATACATATACACACACACTCTCAAGAAGGGGGAGAGTGTGATAAAGTAGATTTGTTTCAATAAATATGCTAAACCCCTCCATACACAGAGTTGAAACTTGGTTTCTGAAGAAAGCAAATCATACCATTTCTACTGCACCTTGCTGGTGGGTATGAGAAAAACACAGACAGCACCTGCACTAGCCCATTTTAGCTCTTCACAGCCTCTCCCTCCTTGATGACTCCTGCAGCCACACAAAGCTCCTCAGAGAAATATTCCTCAGTGCTGCACTAGTAGCCTTAGGGACTCTTGCTGGCTGCATTTGAAAATCGAAAGTATGAAACAAATTATGAGCATGCCGTGTTGCTGCAACTTTTGACTACTGATTCCTTCCAACCTAGTTGCCCAACTCCATTAACAAGAGAAGCACAGAAGCCCCCAGTGTTCAACCCAGCTACTCTGCTCTCTCAGACTTCTAAGAAAGGATGGAGGAAGCCCCAGAATTCTCCACTAAATTATTTTTCATGATAAAGATGGGCTATGTGCCCTCCCTGAGCCTTCTATGCTGCTCTCCTTGATCTCTATACTGCTCCATCCTTCCCCAATAATGGGTTCTCTACCATTGGATTAAAAACAAAAAAACTCTCTGCAAAATGTTCCCAGAGGAACGTTTTCTCCATCGAAACACATCATTCCTCCATATCCAAGACTCCAGCACATCAGTAGAGTACCCCCAGATAAAGCTGACATCATGGCTAAACAGCACCACTGACACAGATGTCCCCACACATGAGGCTGATGTTTAGAAGCCAGGTCTTCAGTCTGGGATTTCAAGAGCAGTACTGTGGGGGTATGATTTTAAAGCCTAACAAGCAGGCTGTGAAGAAATTATCCAGTCTGTGGACAAGAATATCAGAACTTCAATACACCTACCATTGCCAAAAGCCTGAAAGGATTTCCTTAGGTCAGCACATCCAGTCACTGAATAGCCACAGAGGAAAAAATAAAACAGTTTAATGTTCAAGCTAAAACCTTGTTCAGTACTGATTCCCACGACAATGAAGGTTCACACAGGGTATTTGCCACAAGCATTTCACTACACGAGTGCCTGGCACGTTCTTTAACTGAGCACTAAGGCTGACAGATGAAAACTCATCTCAGCTGAGCGTTCAGTCTTAGAAGCTTCAGAGCTCCCCCAAAAGTGATCTCTAAGCAAAAGGTTGCTTGGAATGCTTTGGAAGGTGCTGCAGTTTCCTGGATGGACATGGCTGAGACAAAGCACTTTCATCATTACAGAAGCAGCCTAAGGCTGGACTTTCCTATGTAGATACCATATCTCCTATGAAAATCCAGGGATAACTTTTCTTTGAAAACAAAACAAAGACATTTCCACCTCACGAAGAGTACCCTAGAAAAAAGAATTTACAAAGCACAGTCAGATAAACACAAATGCACTAAAAATGCTCTTTGTGTTTCCATCCTAAGCTGAAAATTAGGATGGAGCCTGTGGCCACATACTGCTCTCTATAGTTGTAATGGAATTTATCTATATTGGCTTTTGCTGTTATAAACCACACTGCTTCTCCAAGAAGAGTGGTAGGAGCATAGGACATGAATCTATGTGCCATTGTTAGTTATCACAGTCTGTAGTACAACAGCCCTGGCTAATTTTGTAGCAGTGACACAGAAAAAAGGGCCTTCAGAAATTCAGAAAAACATTCAGCATGAAACATGGAGGAAATAAGATGTGCTTTTCCTTGTTCCTATAACGGTGACAAGAGGAGTTAGCTGACCATCTAATCCTTCTTCCTTCGTTCTTCCTTCCTCCACCTGTGTTACAAATTTAGCCTTTCACCTGCAATTAGTTGATATTTTAGGAAGCTTTTGGTTCTGCAAAAACAGAGGTGGGCCAACATGTTTCAGATGTGTCACACCAGCGTGTTCTGTGCTTTTACCCTCATTCAGTTATCTGTCTTTGGAGCTATAGTTGAAGGAAACTCCATTTCTGATGGATCCATTCATAAGTGTTCTAGGATTCTCTCTTTCAATCTTTTCTCTGCTGAAGATAGTGTCCTGATCACTGTCAAACTCTGACTCGGAGACCATCAGACTGGAGTTGTGTTCTGTACTTCTGTGTTTTATACCTGACAATAAAAAAGCAAACCAAACTCATTAGAGAGATTTGACTTTTTAGTAATAACTAACCACCACTGTCCCCTGCTGTGATATGAAAAGTAAGTGAAAACCTGCTCTGCGGTGTAATGTAACAGCATGCACCACTGCCACCACCAATATAAAAACTGGCCTTAAGAACTATCACATACTGTCAGGCAGATGCTCTTCCAACTTCACTACAGGCCAACTGGAATACATGCATTAAAATTAGAAACAATTAGATTATCTTAGTACATACCTAATGTACTTTTAATACCTTAAATCTGGAAATTGGTCTGTTCACTCAACTGTCTTACTAACACAAGTGGGAATGAAAGGTCAAGGTTTCTACAGAAATGTTATCTCTGTCTTTCTAGGAGAGCAATTTCTCAGGATGATTTTAATTTCTTGGATTCCAACACTTCCCCTGCTAAAAACTGGAATTCAAGGAAATCAAAATATATGTAAACAGCAGCTGAAGTCAACTTAGGTTTAACAGGGCACTTATAGGTCAGGAAAGAACTGCTGGGCAGCAATAAAAACAGCTCCAAATTAAAACATGTGCAGAGGAGAAAGGGTTACATAGAGAAAGCCTGTGGGACAGTAAGATGTTCTTAATTAGGAATAATTAAGAAGCTCAGAGCAGTGGCTGAGCCCAAGGCTTCATACAAGAAACGAAGCAATTCTCCTCCAGCCACTTCATTGTCCAACTCCACCATTCCCAAACTTCTAGGCCACCTTCTGGGCTCCTCCTGACTACAGGTCAGGCACACTGACTGAACGCTTGGTGGATGAGTTCACAGCTTACCACACAGCACTTACCGTATTTGGGTCGTAGTTCCATTCTCTCCTGCTCATCTATGTTATCTAGGATGGTATATTTTGTTTTCTTTCTTATCTTTGTCCTCTTCCTGCTAGAAAGGAAGTTACCACAAAGACATTTAATTCTCATGTGCACACATAAATCTGGCCCCTCTACTTTTCACACACATATACCCCGGTATACGCAGTGGCACTGTACTTTCTCACCTCCACTTAAAAATAGTTGTTCCAGTTTATACCTGCATAAAGCAGCTGTACAATCTGGACAAGACAGTATAGTTTATCTTCTCTCTGATATACAAAGATGAAGAAATCAAGATGGGTTCATTTGCTTTCCTAGGCCACAGGGGTTCAGTTTGTTCAACACAGTTACTACAACCAGGCAGGCGTGTATTCATTTGCCCTCACAGTTCACAGTGAAGAAGCCACCTTACTGCTCAGCCAACATTACAGCAACAACCTCTCCCTCTATGGTCTTCTAAAAAAAAAAAAAGAATCCATTTGCCAACTCAAAGACTTTAAAACCTCCAAAACTCCAATCTCGGGACTGCCGTGTACTTTTCCCTGTAGTTTCCCCAAGGCAAAGGGAATCTCTTGCCATTCTGTCCTGCGCAGCATTTCCTTTCCCTTTTTCACATGGATCTGTATCAACCAGCCCTCACTCTCTGGCACAAGCCACATGAGGACAAAGGACAGAAGCAGCTGAACTAATAAAGAATCCCTTTATTGTCAAATCTACATAAGCCTGTGAGGCTCCACACTGTGGGGGTGGAGTGGGACACACTTTACTATTTAAAGTTTTCTACTAACAGCATCGTTCTTTCAACCACAAAAAGAAAATCGCTATCAACCCTGACACATCCTTTACACACTGCAAAAAGCTGAAAATATAGAAAGATTTTGACAGCATTTTATTTTTACTAACACCTCAACGAGCTATCTATTTGATCAGCTGTTTGGGCTGCAGCAAAAACACTTGCTCTAGTGACAGAACTTGCAGGGGCTTGTCACTTGAAAGAGAATTTCTTATCAGTTCACTAGGAAAGACTGGAGGGAGCGCACAAAGTGAAACAACACACAGTAGTAGACAGGACTGTTTAAGGAAAGAGGAAGCAAGAAGTCTGCACAACTGAGATCGCTGGAGTACTCCTTGCCTGTCAGCCACATGCAGCCCTCCTGCCCACCCTTCCTGTCCAAGGGAAACAGCAGACTGGGAGCAGATCCTTTCCCATGGTTTACAACATTCCTAGATCAGCGAGTGACCTTCAGGGTGTGCCTCTTTTTTGTTAGCACAGAGTACCTGGAGGACTCAGTGAAGATCTCAGTATACTCTTCAGCATTTTGACATTAACTATCACTTAATATGAAGGATACTGCAACATCAGCTTTTTTGGGTTTTTAATGTAGAGAAGCACAGAGACACAAATGGATACTCCTTTTTTCAACAAAAGTGTGTCTCTACAGAAAGAGCTACAAGAAGCTCCTCTCATGTCCAAAAAGAGTTCAGTGGTTTAGTGCTAAGGACCGGACTAAAATATGGCAGTTTTTGCATATACCCCATCAAAAAGAAACACAAATCATGTACCTTTTGCAGCAGCAGATGCAGAACCAGGCAAGCCCTACCATGACCACAATCAAAATAAAAACAGATACAGTCACATAGAGTATACTCCACTCTGAAAAAAAAGAAACACAACAGTGCTTTGTAAAGCCATGAATTTAATTTAAGTATTAATTATTTGAAATAGAGAATCTAAGCTGATAAATTAGATGTGCCACAGAATATAGACAGCATGAGGCTGCTGAAACTAAACTGCATTTCCTACAGGTTAACTGAAAGAAACAGTAGAATTAATCATGCTAAGAAACTGACGTTCTAAAGGTCACAATATTGGTCAGTCCAGAACACTGATGTTTTCTTTGCTTAGGTCAGATCACACTTCTGGCACAGAAGCATCAACCACACACTCAGAGAATCTAAGTTGCTGTCTCTTTTACAGCTTTGCAACAGTCCTACTCAAAAGCTTTGCAATGCCCATGTTATTCAACAACCCCTCCAACTGGCCCTAAATTCTTGCAAAATCTCTCTCCCGTGACAAAATTTTTACATTTTTTTCATCAGACAGTGATTCTTTTTAAAATTTAAACTTAAAATATTTTAAATGCAGGCTACTACTGCCAAGATATTATAATTTCAAGAAATCATTCAAATATGTTTCTACAGAAAGGTACTGCTGGGCCAGAAAACAGAGACTCTTTTAGTCCTCCCTCAGTAACCACCTCCTAAGTACTCCCCATTCTGAGAGCAAATAATCAACAGTCACAAGACTACGAGTTACTCTTAAAACACATCCCACAACACCAAACTCACCACAATTACTCTCTCCATCATTTAGATAACGATGTATCAAGTTTTCCATCCACAGCTGGTAGCAAATGCAGCGCTTCGTTATGGGGTCACAGTGCCCATGTCCAGAGCATTTCAAAAGACAGGCTACGGACAAAACCAAACGTGGGTGAGTTGTGTAAATGGACAACCTGTCATGCATCCTTCTGGGGCAAAAGAAGCAGTTCATTATAAGAAACCCCAGTGGCCTGTCTACATTTAAAATATTAGAAGGCTAGGTTATAACACAGCAGTCACCCAATCATCCTGCCTGATACATGCAGACAAGAAAAAGTTAGGTTCCCAGCCTGTTTACTGAACACTATAAGCTCTGAAGGAACCAGAGACATGAAACATATCTATATTATGGTTATATTAAATTTCGCCCATCTTCCAAGAAAAGATGTTATGTAAGGTATCCTTATCCTCATTCCCCAGGCCTTCCTGATGCAACAGACCAGATTAAGATGCACTTTCGCCTGCTGTCACAGATGATGTCTTTTAAAAGAACACAAGCAACTGGCACCAGTTTTCCACAAATCATGAAACATTTTAAGTATTGTCTTCAACATCATCTTTTGGAAAACTACACCCAAGCCCAGACACCCAAGAGCAGACAGAAGGCCTTCATGCACTGTTTCCAGGCGCTGCATTAGCCAAAATGCATGCAGAGTTCCAAGATGAGCCAGCACGATCCAAAACGTACCAGCTGTGTCAACTCGCAGGACTTTAAAAAGCAGAAAGTCAGCCTTCTGTTTCAAGAGCTGCACGTGCAGAGTTCTTGAGACATCTGATGCCTTGATCACCGTGGAAGGATGCCCGTTCTGCACATAGAACACAACTGAGGTGCTGCAGAAAGAAGGTGATGACGGCTGTCAAAGATCATTTTTGTCAGGCATTCAATAATGAAGTATAAAGACATATAGCCTTTAGTTTTGTTTTTTTTTCTGGAAACCAAATGTCACCACTGATAAAGATTTGGGAATTCTGTCCATGGATCAGTCAACTCCATTCAAATGACAAGGACTTCGTTCCAAGCTTGGAGCACCAGCAGTTCTTTGGCTTCTCAGTTTCACAGAAGAAATGTGAGGACAACAGCAAATCTAATTCCCCTCCTGGTCTTCCTGACTTCTGCTTTAAGAAGTACATACACATTTGTTTTCTCCACCCTCATGCAGAACCTATCACAAAGTGCTCTGAAGCAATTTCACCAAATTTAGGAAACTGAATTAAATAGGAGAGAATGCTCAGAAGCAAGGGATACAGAGACTTCATATGAAAGCCCTCCTCCCCCATCATCCACAGCTTTTAAGTTGGATGGCGTTGATCTCATCCTTTATCAGACACCTCAGGGAACATTTTAATTAAGAAAGCTGTTATTAAAAATATCATAGCTATAAATGCTAGATTTTCCTAACTGTGTTTTTCAATTTTAAGACATTCCCTGAGAGCTAAACAAACACCAAAATGAGCTTTAAATTGCCAAGAAGATAACAGGAAGCAGTAAGGGTAACTCATATCATACATGAGTTGGGTTCTGTGGGCATGCACAGCCATTTCTAGCTCTCTACAGCAAGTAGAGGGGGTATTTCTATTTCTAAGTAAAATAACATATGTAGGAGTACCCACTGGAGAGTTTCCTTTGCAAAAAAATGGATTTTCATTACCAGTTACCTGGGAAAATGTTTATAAAATATTAACAATATCAAAACCTTAGCGAAGAAGTAGAAACAAAAGGGTTTGATCAAACAGAGTTGGAAACGTATTTTGAAATACAATACTTGCTTCACTGTGAGAAAGTCTCTCTGTTTTGCTCTGTCTAGAATTTGGAAAAAATAGTAGCACTGTAAGGAACAAAGAGACTGAAATATATATCCATGCACTTTCTCTAAAGTCAAAAATAAAAAATATCTATACAGAAAAATTTTGATTTTTTCAAACAAAATATTTCAGTTCTAGACCTCCACAGAGCTTATTTCATCAATTTTCTACTGCAGAAGAAATTCACCTTTGAAAGTACATTCTGTTGAGAAGTACAGCACTTTTTGCCATCTTAGAAAAGGTTATTTTGCAACTAATTATGAGCTGTGAAAGAGGCAAAGAAAATCACAAATCTTCCTGGCACAGCAGGATATCTTTGTACCTTATATCTGAATAGGCTTGTATCTTCTGGACTTTGATATCTGAATCCAAAACATTCAGCAATACAGCCAGCTGTCTCACCAGAGTGTCCTTCTGCTGTTCACTCAGCTGTCCCACTCCAACCTGCAGAATCAGCTCCACCAGACCATTCCTTTTGGGATCTGACAGAAGAAGAACATACTATTCTTTCAGTACCAACTGACAACAACATACAGTACTTGAAAGTATTTATTAATACTGTATTTTCCTGTAGAAGACCTGTATCCCTGAAAAACCAACTCTTTCATGTTCTTTAGAAAGTACTTAACCTATATTGTCACATTCCCTACGAAACAAACCCATCTCATCAATCGAAATAAAAGCACTTCAGGGTGCACTTCAGTTCAGCATTTACATATTTCTGTGCAGAATAGCAAATTCTATTCCCCTAAATGCTGCCATCTTAAAGTCAGAGGTAAGCACTAGGTGGGTCTAATTACCAAGTTCCCTGCTACTTATTTACTACTGGTTATCACCCAGGAAAAGAGAGCCAAAGATGAACTTGTATGTCTGAGGATGGCAAATTCGAGAAATATTAGATATGTTTACCCTTACAAACTGAGGGTTCTGTTAAATAGTACTTGGACTTCTAGAGTGCCTTGCAAAGCAAAGAAACTTCACAGTTATCCAGTGAGAATCATGAGCCAATTATTATGACTGCATTCAACAATAAAGTGAGGAACAGAAAATCACAGCCCAGGAGTCAGACAACAAAGAAAACTGAAGCTTCAATTTCCATCATACAGCTATTTATCCTGCATTTGAAAACAAGTCTATAAAACAAGCAATACCAAACCATGAAAAGACAGTTTACAATTCCCTAACATTCTTTTTTCCTTCGGGAGGAAAGAAGAAAAACAAACATAAAGCCACACTTCCAATCATCAAACACACAACTGCAGCATTTGTACCTAGACCTAATGTTTAGCTCCCATCTCTTTCCACTGGCCAAACTGACAAACAGTCAGAAAAAAAGAAAAAAAAATCTACAATGAATGAAGAAGAAGAAAAGCCTAACGAAAATATTAACTAGAAAGTATAATTCTTATTTACTGATGCTTCCACTAAGGCTGTAGTAGCAATTAGGAATCCCTAACACGTCATCTTCTAACACGCTCGGGCCTATTCAGAGAACAGTAGGAAGGTAGGAAGAGAGAGACCTGTTTGCTTTGAGAGAATCTTGCCAACATCTAAATAATAAGTGAAAAGGAG